TTTTAAAAATCTACTCTTGTGTTCCTCTGTCTATAGACTGGGGAGAAGCAGATTGGAAACAACCCTGTTGTGTGAGGGAGCTGGGGGAAAGTGCTTTGTGAAGGAAGCTCTTGCCCATCATGTTTCCACGCAAAATGGCACACAGATATGTTGTCAAAAGGACAGATAAGAAGAGCTAGTCCTGCTCCACCAAGCCTATTTGCATTACCCTTAGGTAATAAGGCCAAGAATGCTTCCAGATTCCATTTCTCTGTCTCTGTCTCTCTGTCTCTGTCTCTGTGTCTCTGTCTCTGTCTCTGTTTCTCTCTCTCTCGTTCTCTCTCTGTGGAAATCCACACTCCCAATGCCTTTGGGCGGGTATTACAAGAGCAGGTTTCCTACTCTTCTAAGTAAGAATCAGTCCCTCTGCTTAATTTTTCCTTTCTCTTTTACAACGGTCATGGGACGTACTGTGTATGCACGCATGCATGTGAAACTTCTGGTCACCTTAACCCAGGCTCAGTATCAAGGAAGAATCTTATTCCTCTTCACCATCTTCCTAGTGCCTAGAAGAACATAGCCTGGAATCTTGGCCCTCAATAAATACTGAATTAATGATGGAGGGAGGGATAGGTGACAGCTAATGAGATATAGAATTACTTCTCTGAAAATCTGTTGGAGAAAACCAGCTGCTTTCCTGTCACATAGCCTGCCACTGGTGTCTGCGAGCTGGTGTCTGAGGTCTCATAGGAGGGACATGCAATCTGGCATTTCCTTTCTCTGCAGTGGCACAATAAAATGTAGCAAAACAACTGATTGTGCAAGAATATTTATTTGTCTCCGCAGGTAGGTGGTTAGACATTCCTAGAAATGTTGGTAACTTAGAGATATTTTACTGAAAACCCAAGCCAGCTAAGAATAGCAGCCTACAAGTTAAGCCATTGAGTCAATGAAATTGGGGGAGTGGGGAGAGGTTAGATAATGTTTCAAACTCATGATCATCAGTTGTGATTATAAATAGGTAGCTCTAATAAAGAGAAAGTGAGTCCCAAAGCCTGAAACAGACTTTTAAGAAATATTTTTAAAATTTGTCATTATAAAGATAATTGAAATAGATATTTTACAAATTAAGGAATAGATCCAGTTTGATAAAAGATGGAAAACCATCTTCTGAAACAAGCCAGTAAGGCAGCAGGCACTTTGAAACTGCTGTTGATAAAAGTACTGGCTTGACTTGGACCTGCAAATGTCCTAAGCATAACTTCAAGGAGCTTAAATACTAGGCCTGTTGGCCTCCATTTCCCATCAGTCTCCTTGCTCTACGCCAGGCTTTCCTGCAGTCACTGGGTTCCAGGTACTACAGGACTGAGGGATAAACATCTTGTGACAAGAATCCTCTCTGGCCCCCAGGAACCAACCACTGTCTTATTATAACAAGCACTCATCTGATAATGGATAACATGATGACACCTTAGAACACAGCTTTGACTCCAACTACCTTACTGTGCAGACCTTCACCCGCCTGCCTCAGTGCTTCTCTATTCAAATCTAAAGTTCTAGTCAGTACTGAGGAAGGAGGGCTGAAGAGCTAGCTCGTTCTCTTTCTGGATTGCAGGATATGTTAATAAATCTCCTTTCTCTGCCCTTTCACCACTTCTTGTGTCTGTGATTTGTGTATTTGGAGCAAGTGTATTTGGAGCCCCTGAGGGAGGCCTCTGGCTTAGGACTCTGGGCACAGTAGATACAAAATTTAGAACAGCCAGGCACCTTTTGGCTTTATTTTTTAATCACAAATAAGTTTCAGTCAAAAAACTCAGGCCTAAGAAGAAATAGACTGATGGTTGAGAACTAGATTCTGTGGAGTGATAACTGACTCTTAAGTATTTTTAGGTTTTTTTTTTTTTTTTTCTCTACTTTTCGGTGCAGGAACTGGACATTGTCACCCATTTTGAACATTAATTATATCATCAGGCAGGATAGAGTGAGAGTTTATCCCAGCATTTTGGTCTGTCCCACTGTCAGGCCAGCTGCATTTCTAAGTTCTGGTGGCTTCCTGGGTTCCGCTTGTTTTCTTTTACATCCTCGTCCTGATTGGTTGCATGGAATTTATCTTACTCCCTCATAATTTTCTGTTTCCAAACTATCATGGAATTAAAAACTAGACAAATTGGCTTAGTTTTGTCAAATTAAGGAAGTGTCTAATGATTTTCTTCCTTTCTCTTTTCTTTCTTTTTTCTTACTTGTTTTTTTGGTCTTGTCCTTTTGGGAAATGGGGATCAAACCCAGGATGTTGCACTTGTTAGGCAAGTCACTGAGCTACCTCCCAGACCTTCTGTCATTTTCTTTTGTATGTGTTTGTGCCCACTTGTGATGGTACTGAGTAAGTACCAATTGGTACTAAGTAAAGTGCTTAGAAGCCCATGAATTTAGCGCCTTCAGCTCTTGCTCAAGTTTGTTTCCCCACCTGGTGGTACTCTACTGCTTGAGCCATGCCTCCAGTATAGATTTTTGCTGTTGATTGTAGATGGATGCTCACCATCAGTTCTGTTCAACTGGCTTCAAATCACATCTCCATGTCTCGCCTCCTGAGTGGCTAGGATTATAGGGCTGAGCTATCTATTCTAATGGTAATGCTTGGGCGAGGGTGGACTTTGTGGCTCAGTTTTGTGGTTAAAAAACATGAATTCCTTGGCTTCCAAATATATAGTCCCCAAACAATTGATGAACTAAAAGGGGCTATGTCACCTGGGTGCTGGTGGCACATGCTTGTAATCTTAGGAGGCTGAGATCTGAGGATCAAGGTTTGAAACCAGCTTGGGCCAGAAAGTCCCGGAGTCTTATCTTTCATTAACTACCCAAAAGCCAGAAGTGGAGCTGTGGGTCATGTGGTAAAGTGCTAGCCTTGAGCAAAGAAGCTCAGGGATAGCACCAAGAACCCAACTTCAAGATCCAGGAGAGGCACAGAAAAAGAGGGGGTACTATATCATAATGTTCACTTTGGAAAATCATACTAACAAAAAGCTTGTTAGGAATTTATTATGGTATGATAAAAAGAAGTTACTGAAACTCAGGAGTGGAACCAATTCCAGAACATTCATCCTGTTAACACTTACTGTGTCTGTCTCCATCCTCCCAGGCTGATGCGAGTGACACTTAGGGTGATGGGTGTTGTCCTCTAATTCCTCCCTGCTCTAAAGTTCCAGCTCACTCCTGCTGTTCACACAGACTGTGATACAAAATCTTCATGTCACAAAGGCTTTGCAGTACAAGTGCATTGTGTGCGCGTGCACACACATGCATGCGTGCACGCATGCGCTAGTTTGAATTTTAGGTCTTGCTCCCTTGACTGGCTTTTTCTGGATCCACCACTTGAGCTACAACTCCACTTCCAGCTTTTTGATGGTTAATTAGAGATGAATCTCACAGACTTTTCTGCCTGGGCTGGCTTTGAGCATTGATCTTCAGATAACAGTGAATTTGTACTTTGACGGTGTAAATGGAAGATGTGTCTGACAGCTCTGGTTCAAGTGCAGCTTTGCAGGGAGACTGATAAGGATCACTTTCCTGGACATCTCTCACTGGAGTATTTAATGGTAACCCCTAGAGTCTTGTGATTATGGATATGGCCTTGAGACTGTATTTTATATCAACTCAATATACTTGCCATCCAGAAATGGATTCAACCTTATGAAAAACCATAGATCAGAAAGAGTGGTGGCCTAAGAGGTTTTAAGTTTCTATTCCAAAGGCATGATGCCCTTGATAAGAAGATAGCTTGTGGAGATACATGGTCTTTTGTGAGTTGCAATGGTAGATAACCTGCTCCAACAAGGTGTTTTCACTGGAGAGATGAAGAGGAGGTAAAGTTGAGGCAGGAGGCATTTCATTGTAGTTCCTTGACCTGGAGCTTACCCTATTAGAATGAATAATCTCTTTGAGAAAGCTGCGTAAGTGACAACTCCTTTGGGGGTGTTTCTGACTGGCCTAGGGCTTGAACTCAGGGACTGTGCTCTTGCTTAGCTTTTTTCTCAAGGCTGGTGCCCTACCACTTGAGCCACAACTCCAGATTTTTGTTGGTTTGTGCTAGAAATTGATCATTTTTCTTAAGACACGGGGTCTCATTATGGTACCTAGGCTGACCTTGAACTCCTGAGCTCAAGTGGCTGTCCTGACTGAGCTTCCTGAGTAGATGGGTCAGTACACCACCAAACCCAGCTATATGCTAGCATGTCAAACAAAGTAACATTAACTGTAGAGAAATGTAAAATTTACACTTAGGGTCCAAAGAAATTGAAACAGTTGTATTCTGAATGGAGGCCACTACCTGGAGTCCTGGTAGCTGCCTCTGTTAAAGATCTAATCCAAGTGGGACTTAATAATAATGATATATTTTTAAAGATTTATATGAGCTACAACTAAAAAAATGGCATTGTAACTTGACCTAAAAGTGGTAAAAGTGAAAAACTAAAACCATACTTTAGACAGTACAAACAGGGGACATCCTCAGACTTTTTCTTTCCAGCTAAGATTTGAAAAATTGGCTCTTAGAGACTTGTTGAAGAGATGACCCCAGAATCTTGACCTCACAATCTTTTTCAATGTTTCATTGAAACACAGAAGACAGAGAGTTCTTATTGTCAGGAAAATCTAGACAAGATGTCTCTTTTTTCAATATTCTCTTACTCTATTTGCCTGGAACATGAAATAGAAGCCCAAACATCTTAATATTTATAGGGTTTATCAGCTATATCAATGTGATAGAAAAATTTTGACATTATCAAATGTGATATAATGCAAACACAACATAAAGAAAATAATAACATTCCAACATGATTTCTTTTCTTTTTTCTTTTTTGTCATTTTGGGATTTGAACTCAAAGCGCTGTGATTTCTAAGTATGTATTCTTACCACTGAGTCACAGCTCCAGCCCTCAAACACGATTTCTTAAAGTTTCACATAATTTGTCTGAATATTTATGATGTTTATCCTCAGCCAGTAAGAAATTTTCATTGTTTTTCAGCATCTCCAGTCGGCAACGGTTATATCAAGCCTCCAGTTCCCCCTGCTTCCGGCACACACAGGGAGAAGGGGCCACCAACCATGTTACCTATCAATGTGGACCCAGACAGCAAACCAGGAGAGTATGTCCTCAAGAGTTTATTTGTCAACTTCACCACTCAGGCTGAACGCAAGATCCGCATCATTATGGCTGAACCATTGGTGAGTATGGGTCATGACATCTGCTTAAGTTCATCTCTACACTGCAGTCAGTCTCCTTATCTGTGGGCTCTCCTGGTAGGGATTGAACCAACCTTGGATTGGATTGATAACATTTGCAAAAAACAAAAAAGGAGAATTGCATTTGTGCAAAAAATGTACATTTTTGTGTCATTATATCTCAAACAGTATTTTATAGCAGAGGGATGCCAGTAATCTTAGCTATTTAGGAGGCTGAGATTTGAGGATCACAATTCAAAGGTAGCACAGACAGGAAAGTCCATGAGACTTTTAGCTCTAGTTAACCAACAGAGAGCCAAAAGAGGTGGTATGGCTCAAGGAGTAGGGTGCCACCCCCAAACCAAAAAGCAAAAGGACAATGCCCAGATCATGAATTCAAGCCCCAGTATTGGCAAGAAAAAAAGTCAGCTCCTGTAGAATTACACCTGTAATTCTAGCTACTCAAGAGACTGAGATCTGAGGTTCAAAGCCAGCCCAGGCAGTAAAGGCCTTAAGACTCTTATCTCTAATTAATCATCAAAAAACAAGAAGTAGAGCTATAGCTCAAGTTGTAGAGTGCTAGACTCGACTGAAAAGGCTCATAGACAGTACGCAGGCCCTGAATTCAAGCCCCAGCACAAAACCAGCACAAGACCAGCACAAAAACAAAAAAAGAAAAAAAATACATTTTAACATTGTTTACATAGCATTTATATTATTTACATAGCATTTACATTATGAATTATCTAGAAGTAATTTCATGTTCAAGAGTATGTGCACTGGAAACAGGAAAATATTGTGCTGTAAGGAACTTATCCATCTGCAGAATTGATGTACAAAAACAAATGTTCTGGAATTGGCCCTGACTATCCCGGGACTGTATGCTATCTTCATGTAAAGGATGGGTTACTATTCCCCTAATTTGCAAAGATGTTTTTTTCTTAATATCATAGGTGATTTTATTAAAGATTATATGGAAGTTTACTAATTTAAAGGGAAAAAGTTGAATGTTAGGAACTTTAATAAAACAAATCTTCAGCAATAACAATTTAATAACATGGTGAAACTCTGCATTAAGAACTAATAAAACAATTTAACCAGAATTAGCATTAAATAATGGAAAACTGTATTTAGAGTCTTTGCTATGTGTATAGGTTTTTGTTTTTTGTTTTGTTTTTGTGAAGTGCTAGAGCTTGAACTCAGGGTCTCAAGCCTCTTACTGGCATTTTCTGCTCAAGGCCAACATTCTACCACCTGAGCCACAGCTTCACTTACAGCTTTTTGCTGGTTGCTTGGAGAAGAGAGTCTTGTGAATTTGTCTACCCTGACTAGATTTGAACTGTGATCTTCAAATCTTAGTTTCTTAAGTAACTAAGATTGCAGGCATGAGCCACTGATGCCAGGCCTATATATGCTTTAAGAAAAATCTTTTATCTGATTTTTAAAGCAGCGTTTTTCAAGTGGCCATCACACTTTTACAGTGAGAACATGTGGTACAGGAAATGTTTATGTGAGGCATTCAGAAACCCCACTTCAGCCTCTGCAAATCAGAAGTAAATACTTGGCTCCCAGACATTTCTATCTTTTCTTACATGGAGGGTGCCCTTGGACTTCACTGTCTTCCTTTGCAGATGCTTCTGCTAGACATCAGGCGTCATGATCTTTATGGTAATGGCTTTACCAGGGCTCTGGGAGCACTGAGTCCTAAGGACAGTGAGGAAGGAAGAAAGTACAATGGGTAGAACCAGATGGCTTGTGTTTGACCTTGATGGGGGCTACATACAATACAAGAAAAGAAAAGGAATTCAGAGAGAAGTAGCTATTACTAGGTATGTGGCTTTCTACCTCCTGTGAAGAGACTGGAGTAGTAAGGAGATCACCCAGAATCTGCTTTGAGAACTATAGCTTCAAACACCTACAGACAATGTCATTGAACCCACCAAACAGATCTCTGAAAATGTGTATCAACAGACACATCATCTACTCAAAATGACCTTTATAAAAATTACTATTTTAAATTTGAGAATTCTAATTCCAGAGTTTGGTACATGCGTATCTGAAAGCTATAAACTTTGTATTTTTATTATTCAATCAGTGAAGGCTATCTTTATATATTCTGCTTATAACATTCTATTCAATAGCTAACTTTCTATAATTACAGAAAAAAAAATTTCTTGTTTAAGTCACTTACATTTAAACCAGGTGTTGGTGACTCAGACCTGTAATCCTAGCTACTCAGGAGAATGAGATCTGAGGACCACAGTTCGAAGCCAGCTGTCACAGACAAATCCCAGAGCTTATCTACAAATAACCAGAAAAAAAAAAGCTGGAAATGGAGGCATGGCTCCAGTGGTAGAGTGCCAGCCTTGAGCAAAAAGGCTAAAGGACAGCGTCTGAGTTCAATCTCTGAAATGGGCAATCAATCAATAACTCAGTATAATGCCTTTTCCTTAATATAGTGTCCTTTCCCCATTGACTCATGTTTCTGTGTTTCTTCTATTTGTGTTTTGAATAGCTAATGCCTACAGAGTACTTAGTGTCTGCCAGAGATGGTGCTTAGTTTATTACTTTTTCAATAACCTTAGCTCATCTCCCACTTATAGGTGGGCAAAGTTGGCACAGGGAGAGTTAAGTAATTGCTTAAGATTTAATGTGGACTCAGACTGGGTTACACCAGAATCCTCCTCTGGTCCACAGTAACTATACTCTATTTTCAGTCATTGCATGGCCCTCGTTACATAAACAATTTACACTCACTTTTTGTGTGTACATGTATGTTGGTCTAGGGACTTGAACTCAGAGCTTGGACACTGCCCCTGAACATTTTATGCTCAGAGCTAGTGCTCTACTACATGATCTTCAGCTCCACTTCCAGGTTTTTACTGATTAATTGGAGTCTTACAGACTTTCCTGCCCAAGCTGGCTTCAAACCATGATCCTCAGATCTTAGCCTCTTTAGGATCACAGGCATGAACCATCAGTGCCAGGCAAGCCCAGTATTTTGCTGGTTGTTTTAGAGAGGTATTCTTGTGGGTTTTCTGTCCAGGTTACCTTGAACCATGATCCTTTAGGTTTCAGCCTCTTGAGTAACTAGGTTTACAGGCAGGGATCACCAGTGTGTAGCACACACTCAGCTTTTACACCAACATAGGACTGTGTAGCAATTTGAGTCAGCCAAGACAAGTTCCCAAAACATTGCCTAAAGCAGTGTCGGTCTTTGCTCAAGGGAAGGAAGTTGCTTTGAGGTCAAGGACATGTCAGGGAGAGAGGTCTAGAGAACAGAAAGTGGTAAGATGAAGTGAAAGTTCATTTTACTCCTTTACCCGAGAAGGCAAAAAAAAAAAAAAAAAGTGGGAATTTGGACTTAATTTTTTCATCTTTACTCAGTTTACAGTTTGTTACTGTGGTCATTTTTGTTTGTTTGTCTGTTTGGCTTTTTTTGCCTCTACTGGAGATTGAACTCAGGGACTGGTCACTTTTTCACTAAAGGATGATGCTCTACCACTTAAGCCACAGCTCCACTGCCAGCTTTGCTGATTAATGGACATAAAAGTCTCATGTATTTTCCTGCTATGAACGGTGATCTTTACATCTCGGCCTCAGTAGCTAGGATTGCGGATATGAGCCACCAGCACACAGCTTTTTTTTTCTTTTTTTTCCTTTTTTAAGTAGAACTAGGTCTAAGCAGCTTACATGTACCACAGCCACCTTCTAATTAGAGGGAGACATTGTATGTTTCTATGACAAACCCTCAACCTTCTCCTTTACCCCATTTTTAATAAGTTTTTTATTGTGAAAATACTGTACAGAGGAGGGGTTACAGTTACATGAGCAAGGTAATGAGTATACTTCTTATCCAGCATTGTTGCCTCCTCTTTTGTTTTTCCCCTACCATCCCTTCCTTCTCATCTCCTCAACTACCCCCTTACCCCCCACCCCCGACCTAAATTGCAGCATTTGTTTTTCGACAGTGTCTTTTTTTTCATTTTTTAATTAATAATTTTTAATTGTGGAAATACCATACAGAGAGGTTACAATTACATGAGCAAAGTAATGAGTACATTTCTTATCAAGCATTATTGCCTCCTCCTATTTAAACAATGTTTTTTCCCTTCCCCTCCACAAATTATACCAACATCAAATACAGTGAAAACAGGGGTTATACCGTGGGGGAGGGACATACAAAGTAACAAAAAAAATCATCTTATAAATATGTTAGAAACAATAGCAAGAAAGAAAAACCATTTGAGTCCTTCTCTTGAGATTCATTTCACCTAACATCAACTTATCTGAACATTTCTACTTGTCTCAGACATATACTAGTTATTGCAAATAAGGGAAACCATGGGACCTATGTTTCTTTGGGCTTGGTTTACTTCACTTAATACAATTTTTTCCAAGTCTTTCCATTTCCTAACAAATGGGACAATGTCATTCTTTCTGATGGAGGCATAGAATTCCATTGTGTATATATACCACATTTTCTTGATCCATTCATCTACTGAGGGGCATCTGGGTTGGTTCCATATCTTAGCTATGGTAAATAATGCTACAATAAACATAGTCATGCTGGTAGCTTTAGTGTGGTCTTGTTTGTAACCATTTGGTAAATGCCCAAAAGTGGGATTGCTGGGTCATAGGGGAGCTCTATGTGGAGTCTTTTGAGGAACCTCCATACTACTTTCCAAAGTGGTTGAACACTCCCACCAACAATGCAGTAAGGTTCCCTTCAGTCCACATCCCCTCCAGCATCTGTTGTTATTAGAGTTCTTGATTATAGCCATTCTAACTGGGGTGAGGTGGTATCTCAATGTTGTTTTGATTTGCATTTCTTTTATGGCTAGGGAGGTTGAGCATTTCTTCATGTGTCTATTGGCCATCCTTCTTTCCTCTTCAGAGAAGTTTCTCTTTAAGTCTTTAGCCCATTTATTTATTGGACAGTTGTTCCTTTGAGGATTTGTTGTTAGGAGATTTAAATTTTTGAGTTCCAAGTATATAGACCC